TGGGTGAGAAGAGGGGTGGAGGCGGGTCCTGGTGGGGGTGGGCAGAGAGCTTTCACTAGCAGGGGGCTTGGAGGGAGGGCTGCACTCAGGTGTCTGTGGGCCTTGTTCCATCCCTATTAAAGGTGGGACACTAGACTCTGGGTGCCCACAGGCAGCGAGCCCTGCCTGGGAGAGTAGCTGAAGGGTGGAGAGGGGCTTGCCTTCTAGCTGCTTCTTATTCTGTTCTCAGGAGTGTCTCAAGCACCTGGGCTGGGTAGGCATCATGGCTGCCAGCCTCATGGGATTGCTTCTACTTCAGGCAGTTTCGTGGGCATCAGGTGAGTGAGTCAAGGAGGAAGGAGGTAGCCCGAGGCTCCCTTCTGCCTTATGGGCCTTTGTGAGCCTTCTGGCATACTGGTGGTGCACTCCAGCAGGTGCTCAGCAACCCTTTGGAGTGACTGAGACCAACCTTGGGGTGAGGGTACAGCAAGAGGATTTTTTTTTCCTTTTTTTTTTTTTTTTGTGAGGAAGATCAGCCCTGAGCTAACATCCATGCCAATCCTCCCCTTTTTCTGCCGAGGAAGATTGGCCCTGGGTTAACATCCGTGCCCATCTTCCTCTACTTTATATGGGACGCCGCCACAGCATAGCCCGACAAGCAGTGCGTCAGTGCGCGCCCAGGATCCGAACCCGGGCCGCCAGCAGCGGAGCGCGCGCACTTAACCGCTATGCCACAGGGCCAGCCCCAGCAAGAGGATTTTTGAAACCAGTGTTGGGTCTCGCTTTCCAACCTGTGTGCCCCTACACCCCATCTTCATCCCTCAGCCCTTGCCTCTGCTTGTGCTTCCTCCTTTCCAGGTGCCCGCCCATGCAGCCCTAAAACCTTTGGCTACAGCTCAGTGGTCTGTGTCTGCAATGCCACGTATTGTGACTCTCTTGACCCCCTGACCCTGCCTGCCACTGGCACCTTCAGCCGCTACGAGAGCACACGCAGCGGGCGCCGAATGGAGCTGAGTCAGGGGACCATCCAGGCCAACCGCACGGGCACAGGTGACCACTACACCCCTCACCTCGAGCCAGGCTCAATCCTGCTGGAACTAAATCATGCCAGCAACCACCACGGAGTTTCTCCCCTGTGCACTGACACCCTTTATTCCCTGTGGATGTCCCCAGGGCTGCTACTGACCCTGCAGCCAGATCAGAAGTTCCAGAAAGTGAAGGGATTTGGAGGGGCCATGACAGATGCTGCTGCTCTCAACATCCTTGCCCTGTCACCCCCTGCCCGGGATTTGCTACTCAAATCGTACTTCTCTGAAGAAGGTGAGGAGGGGGCAAGATGACACAGTGCAGTTGACCCTGTCCTTTCCTTTGACCCTGACTTCCACCCATCCCTAACATTTGGGTCCTCTCCTAATGCCCAGTGGAATAAAAAGGTCCTACACATCTTCCACTGAGTCTTGGGGACTCTCAGGCTTGGGGGCCTGTGCTTCACCCATGTGCCTGGCTCCACAGGCCCCAACCCAAGTTCCCTTTGGTGTGACTCAGATGTAATTCAGTACTGGCAAGTGGTAGGCCAGGTCCCACATCCTCCTATTGACTCAGACTCCTGTATCTTGGTCTTCTTTTTCTGCAGGAATCGAATACAACATCATCCGGGTACCCATGGCCAGCTGTGACTTCTCCATCCGCATATACACCTATGCCGACACCCCTGATGACTTCCAGTTGCACAACTTCAGCCTCCCAGAGGAAGATGTCAAACTCAAGGTGGGCAATCTGGCTGCCTCAGGCCCTGGTGGCATTGATGCCTGGTGGTTGAGAAGCCTCAGGCTAGAGCAGCCTGCAGAGAGACATAGAACCTGCCCTCTGCTCTCCGTTTTGTCCTGGGGGTAGGAGGGCGGAGGCTGATGGCTAGGCCTGATGCACTGGTTGGGCCAGTTTGTCTATGTTCCAACTCTGGGTGTCTCTCTCCTCACTACCTTTGTCTCTAGATACCCCTGATTCACCAAGCCTTGAATTTGGCCCAGCGCCCTGTCTCACTCTTCGCCAGTCCCTGGACATCACCCACTTGGCTCAAGACCAATGGGAAAGTGAATGGGAAGGGGTCACTCAAGGGTCAGCCAGGGGATCTCTACCACCAGACTTGGGCCAGATACTTTGTCAAGTAAGGGGGCAGCAAGGGCATGGGGTCTAATCAACCTCCCCTTTTGGACACCCTGGTCTATGTCCCAACCCTCGACCTGGTTCTGCCTCCAGATCTGACTCTCCTCACCTCGTCTTTCTACCTTCTGGGCCTTTCAGACTCGGACCCCTCAGTTTTCCCCATCTTATCAGGCCTCCTATTCTCCAGAGTCTTGGTCCCCTTTCTTGGCCACTCACACCTTTCCTCCTGCCAGGTTCCTGGATGCCTATGCTGAGCACAAGTTACAGTTCTGGGCAGTGACAGCTGAGAACGAGCCTTCTGCAGGGCTCATTAGCGGGTACCCCTTCCAGTGCCTGGGCTTCACCCCTGAACACCAGCGAGACTTCATTGCCCGTGACCTGGGTCCTACCCTTGCCAACAGTACGCACCACAATGTCCGTCTGCTCATACTGGATGACCAACGCTTGCTGCTGCCCCGCTGGGCCCAAGTGGTAAGGCCCAGGACCTCCATGGGTACCCTAGTGACCCCCAAATCCAGCATCCAAATGACTGGCTCTCGAACAGAGTGCCTCTCCTGCTCTTCATTCCTAGAGCACCCCAGGCTGGGGCCAGGTACTACCCCTGCGGTGCTGAGGGGATGGAGACTTGCTCTGGGATCGCCAGGGCCCCATGGATCCCCCGGTTGTCACTTTAATCCCTTCTAATTGTGTTCATCCCACCGCCCATGTCTCAGGTCACCTAGTCCTTCTTCCAGAACCCTCCGTGCAGGGGCCAGGTTCAGTGGCTCCCTTTCCCCAGGTGTCCTTCCCCTTTCCTGTACAGGTGCTGGAGGACCCAGAGGCAGCTAAGTACGTTCATGGTATCGCTGTACATTGGTACCTGGACTTTCTAGCTCCAGCAAAAGCCACCCTGGGGGAGACACACCGCCTGTTCCCCAACACCACGCTCTTTGCCTCAGAGGCCTGTGTGGGCTCCAAGTTCTGGGAGCAGAGCGTGCGCCTAGGCTCCTGGGATCGAGGGATGCAGTACAGCCACAGCATCATCACGGTGAGCCACCTGTCTCCCTTTCCGCAAAGCAGACCACCTCAGAGCCCTTCCTGGTCTCACCACAGGCTGACAGAAGGCCCTCCTCTCCAACTTTTCCCCAGATGGCTTGCTTGCTGGGGCAAATTTGGGGATATCATGATTCCCTGTCTTGCTTTCCCTTCATAGATCTGCACACCCCATCACCCTTTTCCCGAATGCTTGGGTCTCGGGCAGTTACATCTGCCTCGGATTTCTCAGCTTCTCTTGTGATGTCTTCATCCTCACAATCCCTCTCTCCTTAGATATTAAGGATACAGAGCGTCCCGTCACAGGGCTGAGGCACCATAGCCCGTCTCCCTCATGTGACCCTTAACTCCATTCTCTGGGGACCCAGTGTTGAGCCTTTGTCTCTCTGCCTTGTCCCCACCCTAGAACCTCCTCTACCATGTGGTTGGCTGGACTGACTGGAACCTTGCCCTGAACCCCGAAGGGGGACCCAACTGGGTGCGCAACTTTGTTGACAGCCCCATCATCGTGGACATCACCAAGGACACGTTTTACAAACAGCCCATGTTCTACCACCTTGGCCACTTCAGGTGAGTGGAGGGCAGGTGCTCCCACTCCACGCCAGGCCTAGCATCTCCTGCATTGGGCTTACGTCACCCTAAATGAGGGAGCAGGAAGGTGTTTAAGGTGGGAACCTTGGGAGAGGCACACCTGTCCCTCTTGCACCATCTAGACAGGAAGTGACTAGATGGCATCAGAGACACAGAAAACCCCTAAATGCCCAATGCTGGGTTGGGAGGCAGGTGGGCAGGGCATGTCCAGCAGCGTGGCTCGAGGCCTGGAGAGTTAGCGCAGAGCTTTGGCAAGGGTTCTGGGGGGGTTGGGCAATGCGGAGGTTGACTTCTTAGGTGAGGGGTTGATGGGAGCTGCCCTCAGGGCCAGAGGGGCTAGGCTGAGGTCCCTGACAATACCTGTTCCCACTTCAGCAAGTTCATTCCTGAGGGCTCCCAGAGAGTGGGGCTGGTTGCCAGTGAGAAGACCAACTTGGACACAGTGGCACTGATGCATCCTGATGGCTCTGCAGTTGTGGTCGTGCTAAACCGGTGAGAGCAGCAGGGCCTGGAAACTGGGCTGAAGACAAGACGGTGGGCTTGGCAGGATCACACACTCAGCTTCTCCTCTGCCCTCCCTAGCTCCTCTAAGGATGTGCCTCTCACCATCAAGGATCCTGCTGTGGGATTCCTGGAGACTATCTCACCCGGCTACTCCATTCAAACCTACCTGTGGCGTCGCCAGTGATGGAGCGGATACCCAAGCAGGCACCTGGGCTCAGCATGGGCGTTGAAGGGACAGAGTCAGCTCACATGTTGTCTGTGGCTAAAGAGGGTATAGCAGGGCTGGGGTGAGCCTGAGTGACATAAGCCCAGGGGCAGTGGTTTGGGTGACTCACTCTCCCCTCTAGTTGGTGCCAGGGGCTGGAGGCCCCTAGGGAAAGGATCGGGAAGCCCAGTGGCCCCCCCACCCCCATGCTTGTGTGAGCGTGTGCTCTGTGCTGGTTGCCTGTGGAAACTGGGCTCAGGCCCAGAGTGAGCTCATTGTCTGTTGAAGCACAAGATGGGGGTGGGGGAGAGGTGAAGGAAAGGAAGAGACTAGGAAAGCTGGACCCAAAACTGGGGACTGTTTGTCTTTCTTGGAGATGCAAAACTGGGCCCATGCAGAAGATGTCAGCATCAGGGCATGCAGCTAAAGAAGCCAAGCACCAGTGGGTAGGCTCACGCACCCTGATGGCCCCCTTGGCACCAGTTAGGAAAAATGGCAGCCCCTTAAAGGAGAAAATGTCTGATCCTAGTCAGTGTGAGCAGGTTTATTCTGGGGGTAGCACCCCATTTCCAGCCGTACCAATAATGGGGAGACACAGGGGTCTCTGGAATGCATAACAGTAGAAAAATCAGTCCTGGGAGCATGAGGACAAATCATTCCTCTTCATCCTCCTCAGCCATGCCCAGGGCCCGTGTGCCTGGGGCCCGAGCAGGCGTTGCCCGCTGGATAGAGACAATGCCACTGAGCAAGGCATAGCCCACCATGGCTGCCAGCCCCGCCAGCACAGATAGGATCTGGTTCCGGCGCCGGTATGGCTCCTCCTCAGTCTCTGGGCCCGCTGGTGTCTGGCGTGGTGGTGGCACCTCAGCTGAGGGTCAAGGAAGGAAGATGGGCAGGGGGGCTAGTTCCTGAATCCCTGCCCACTCTCCCCAAGGCTGGCGCCCACCATCCATCTACCCCTTACCTCCATCCCAGGGGAAGTAGAGGCTGAGGATATGGGTGCAGTAGGCACAGAGGTTGTGCAGCCCCCTCAGGTGGGCCTGCAGCTTCCCACTGGGCAGCTTTGCCTGCAGCAGCAGGGCCAAGTAGCTAAAGACAAAGGCATCTAGGGAGGCGGGGCTGGAGCAGAGAGAGAAGGGTGGGATGGAGACGCAGAGGGGGTAGATATGGAATCGGAGGAAGAGTTGGCGCTGGGAGGTGGGCTATGGGCAGCAGGGAGCCACCAGGGGAGGAGAGGACACACAGTTCTGGACCTGGTATGGGAAGGGCTCCCCAGGTGGCGCCAGCCTGGCCTTGAATGGGACTCTATCCCAGAGCTGCACAAAGGGCACATTGAGGGCCCCACAGCCCTGCAGGCCCCCCCTGTGCCTGGCAGCCCTCCCACCCTCCTGAACCACTGAGGCGGGTCTGGCCCCACACACAGCCCCACTGTCATTGGACCCAGTGTCTGTCCCAAGGACTTCTTATCCAGAGCCTGAGCCCACCCCAGCCCCTGCAGCTACATCTGAACAAGTATCTTCTTCCAAGCCACCTATTATTCCCCTGGAGTCAGACTCACGCATCTCCAAAGAAGAATTTCTGAGAGCCTAGGCGCTGAGAGAGAAGGGTCAGGCATTCCCGAGCCTCTTGGTACAGCTATAGGGAGGACACAAGGTAGGCTTGTGGCTGCGGGAACAGTGCCACCTCCTCTCCTAGGCACTCCCATTCCTGGCCATCATCCTTGGGGCTCCTCTCATACAACAGCCCCCTGTCCCAGAGGTACCTCCTTCTCCAGCTCTTCCTCATTCTCAGGCCTGTGCTCCCCACACAGCAGCTGCAGCCGCTCCATGTACTGCCGCTGCATGCGACCAGGCAGGAAGAAGTTGAGGGGAAAGGGCATAGCCTCTGCATACCACTTCCGGGTCACTTCCACATAGTTCTTGGTGTCTACCCAAAAAGTATGTATCTAGATTGGGTACACAGGAAGGAAGAGGCAGGTCTGAGCCAGTGCACCTGCCTGACGCAGGGTGGGCTTCTGATCCCTAAGCTGCTCCGAGCCTGGTGGGGGTGGAGTATACCTGACCCCCTCCCCTGCTGGCCATGAATGCTGGGAGGTCTGGGCACACTCACCAGGACGGGGAGCAGCTTCTCCTCCAGCAGAGACATGAAGGCCAAGGTGTCTGCCCCTTGCCGGGCGGACAGGTCATAATCGGCATTATACTTCTGTGGAGGAAATGTCCATGGGTGGATGCTGGGGGACTCCAGGGGCACTTCCCCAAGGAGGGAGGCATCCTGTCTGGTACCACCCTCACTGGCCTCTAAATGTAGCAGAGGTAGAGCAAGGAGTGTTTCCCACTGAGGCCCACTTGCCTGGGCCCAGCCAGTAGCCTGTTGCTGTTGGCGGAAAGCCTGGGTCTTGGAGCCTGCTGGCCGTCAAGGTCTCAAGCTCATTGGGGGGAGGAAGGAAGGCCCAGCCACAAACCAGGAGCAGCTCCCAGAGTTTCCACGGAAAGCTGGCAGCGTGCCTGCTGACGGCAACTTTCTAACAGTAACTTCCCCGATCCAGGCACCACAAAGCTAGCAGAGTAGAGCTCGGATGCAGTTCAGGCCTCAGTCCCTGCCTCAGGAACTAGAAGACACCACCTTCACACTCCCAGGGCCCAGTGAACCCATGCCCAGGGCCCCCTGTCTTGTTCTCTCAATGCCTAACTCTTGGTTATTTCTTCTATTTCATTCCATGGGCCAGGCGCCACCACCACACACAAATTCCAACCGCACCCCCAGGTCTCAGCCTGCCACACCTTCCTAGGCTCCGGTGTCTGCTCCTCAGCACCCCCGTCCACATCCTGAGTAAGCTTTGTCCCCAAATAACCTCTTGAGCGTGATCCTTAAATCTCTCTCAGCCTCGACTTCTCCCCTGCAGAATGAGGGTAATAATTTCCTCTCAATGTGGCTGTTAGGAGAAAACTCTGGAAACTGAAAAAGCTGTGTTCATACGTAAGGAAACAGGGGAGTGGCCCAGTCCTTGCCAGGAATTTTGGCTTTTACCTGGATCCCCTCTCTCCATGCCTCTCAAGCCTCCATTAATTTCCCAGCTCCTTCACCTTTGGGAAAGTAGAAATGAAGATGAAGGGCCCACTCGGACAAGGTGTTCCCTTTTGGGACCAAACTGAAAGCTAGAAGAACCTTTGTAAAGCATCCTAGGTAAGCTCCCTAGTTTTACAAATAAGGAGCTTACGGCTCTGAGAGGTTAAGTGAGTTGGTCAGATATTCTAGGACAGAATGAAGAGCAGAGCCTAGGCCTCCCTATTCCTCTTGTAATACTCTTTCAACTTCCCCACCCTGGTTCTAAGTCTTGTCCATCCTAAGCCCCATATCCAGCCCAACCTGGTCCCTGAAAAAAAGGGCAATGGCCCTTATAAGTCCCTTTCTGGTCCCACCTTTGAGGGCCTTATCTGAGCCAACCACTCCCTTCTACTCTCCTTTCCCTTTCATGTGTCATCAGCTCATTCATCTCTCCCTCCCCGCCCAGCAGGCAGAAGGCACTGTGCCTCCTGATGCCCCTGCAGCACACCAGCTTAATCTCTGGCCTGCTGCTTACTGCATCACAGCAACATTGTGTGTGTCTCTCCCATCAGACTATGTGCTCCTTGAAGCTCTGGGTCACCTGCGTCTAGCTTGACATATACTTGCTGCTCAATAAATGTGTGTTGCACTGACTGAATTGACTGAACTTCTCTCACTGGCAGCCCCCCTACCCAAGCCACCTACCTCTTTTCGAAGGTGGGTGATGATCTTGTGTGGTACCGAGATGACCTCTCCATGACTGGTCCGAAGGGCAGGCAGAGTTCCTGACATTGAGAAAGAAGTATGCCCACCAGACCCTTAGCTGCTGATCCACACATATTTGTACCACATCCCTGTCTGTCTCCTGCTCCTCCCCTTGTACATTCCCTTCCTCACCCCCCAGGGACACATGGTACCTGAAGGGCTCCGCCAGGGGTTGGTGATCTTGTGCACCTTGAGTGGGGCACCAGTAAATCTGGCATAGGTCTGCAGGGAAGGAAGCAGAAGGCAGAGAGGGACATGGCCCCCACAGGTGAATCAAGAAGAGAAGTAACATTTATTGAATACCTTTCGTGCTACGCTCTATATTTAGTGCTTGCCTCACAAAAAAAGAGGTAGACATTACCTTTCCCATTTTACAATGGGCAACACAGGGCTCAGAGAGATTATGGACATGTCAGTGACTACAAGTCAGCCACGAAAATCCTTCCTTCTGTCTCCTCTCCTGCCATCTGCCTGGTGGACACCTACCCTCATAAGTGTTTCCTAACGAGTCTATCTCTTTTCTTGGAAGCACTGACCATGCTCTTCTTTGGCAGTCTCTGTGGCCTGTTCCTACTTAGATCTTAGCACCTAAACATTTTATTCTGCCTTTCGGTAAACAAATCCAGGGAAGGATTACCCATTACCCAACTCTTACCCATCCTTGCATGCCAATGTTTGATATTTGGAAGTGACCTAATACATGCTTATTAAATAAAGGAGTGAGAGAATGAGCGAGGTGAACTAGTCTGTCTGACTCCAAAGCTCTTTCTGTAGAACCCGGCTGTGGGCTTTTTGGTTCAATAAACAATAACCTCAGTAAATGCTGTTTAGGGAGGAGGAGAAAAGGAAGGCTGTGAAGAAGGCAGGAATGCCAAGCCGGGGAACCCTGAGATCATCCAGCCTTAGTAAACCTCCGGATAAAGAAACAGCACCCAGAGAGAAGGGATCGCTCCAAGGTCACAAAGCCGGTAAATGGGTGTGCAAGGACTAAAACCCATCTCCTGAATCCCAGATCAGGCCTCCTTCCATTGCTACACAAAACCTAGGCTGCTACAGCATAGGACACTGAGCCCGTACCGGCCAGACACGCTCTTTGGTGGCCTTAGTTTTCCCCACTGCGCCCGTGCTGAGGCGCCCTGGCAAAATTCGGATGGTCAGCTAGTTCGGGCCCCCTCCCCAGTCCTCCAGGGCGCAGCAGAGGGAGCCGGCGCCACCCCTCACCAGCACGGCCAGGCAGTCCAGGTCCACTGACGGCAGCCCCCAGCCCCCCAACCAGCAGAACAGCTCCATGGGCGCCGCCATCTTGCCCGCCCTTTGTCCCGGAAGCACCACCCTCCGCACTTCTGCCCTCCCCCGCGTGGACCCGCCTCCCGCCGCCGCCCCTTTGGCGCTCTGGGCCGGGGGCCGGGGGCCGGGGGCCGGGGGGCGGACCTCGGGGGGGCGCGGCTTTGCCGCGCCGGAGAGGCGGCCGGACGGCGCGGGGCGGAGCCGCGGGCTTCGGGGAAGGGCGGCCGCCGCCTGATTCAGAGCGGCTCCCGAAGTGGGGGAGGGCTCTCGGCCAGGCGCGCCTGGGAAAGTCTGGGCGCCTCGGCCGAGGGGAGCGCCGAACCCCGAAGGCAAAGCAGGGCCAGGGGAAGGGGGTCTTGTGCGCCTAGGCGGGCTCTCGCAAATGTGCACGTGGCCTGGCTGCTCCAGCGCCCCTTAGGGCTCAGCCCCGAGCCGGGGCTGCGGAAGGGGGGGGGGGGTTCCCCGAGCCGCATGTTTTCCACAGCGCGTTATGTTTGGAGCGGGCCCCGCGCCGCCTGTCGCCATGGAAACATAACAGGGGCGGTGGCGGCGGCCGGAGCGAGGCCTGGTTGGAGCCTAGGTGGGGGAGGGGAGGTGGGGGCTCGCTGGCTGTTGCCTCGGTAACGGGAACTGAGGCGCCCCTCCGCTTCATCCGGGTCACAGCCTGCCCACCAGTACCCCCAGTGTTCCTAGTCTGGCCCCCGGCCCCTGGCCTGTCCCCTGATCTACTCCTGTCCTTGGAGTTTCTTTCCTGATTTCTTCACTCCGACCTCACTGACAACTGTTTTAGACTCTCCTTCCAGTTCCCATCGGACGCTTCCATACTCCAAGTTTTCCTAGGACTGAGGGAAGATGGAGGCACAGGCACACGTCAGGGGACCCCCACCCTAATAAAGAGCACTTGCTCTGTCAGAGCAACAAACTTCATGCCATGTGGACAACCCCTGGGCACTATAGCAAGCTGGTTTCGGCCACTCCCTTGGCATCCTCTCATGCCAGCTGTGGAATAATGCCCCTGTCTGGCACTGCCCTTGCCAGGGGTTCCTGCCTTCACCAGCTGTGGCTTTCAGAAAACAGTAGCATTCGGTAGTGGCCTCCAACAACGAGATGGCAAGAGAGAGGAGGCCCCTGGGAGAGAGAACCATTAGGGAGAGGCAGGAGGCAGGGAGGCCTCCAGGACTCTTCCCCAGTGCCCCTGGTTCCCGGAGCTGGGGATGCCTCTAGGGTGATTGGCAGCTCTTTGTTTCAGCCCCCCCTCACCCGCCTGCTGGCCCCCCCCTTCAACTCCCCCTTCTAGTCCCTCCGCCCCCCTCTCCTGTTCTCTCCGCCTAGCCTTTTCCCCTCCCAGCCGCCTGCCTGCCAGGGGTAGTGAGCCGGCTGAGCGGCATGGAGACGCAGGAACTTCGGGGGGCCCTGGCTCTTCTCCTCCTTTGCACTTTCGCATCTGCCAGTCAGGACCTGCAGGGTAAGCCTGTCTCCATCCTCTTAGACCCCTCTCTGCCTCCTCCCCATTTGCCCCCAGCCTAGTAGCAGGGAACATGTGAGCAAGGGGAAAGGGGAAGAGTCCTAAAATTAAGGTGGAGGGAAGAGTTGGTGAAATTATGGCCCTGTGGGAAGCAGTTGACACTAGAGGGTGGTGGGTGAGTGGGAACTGGGCAGGGTCAGCATGAGGCCAGGGCAGAGGACTCAGGAGCTGGATGCTAGAGCTGCCTGGCTGGGTTGGTGTCGGAGCATCCACAGGCACCCTGGGGTCTGGGAGAGCAGCTCGGAGATGGGCTTCTTCAACTCCTGGGTTCCTGGCTGCCCAAGGACGGGGCGGGGGTGGGGAGGGAGAGGTCTGGACTCTCCTGGAGGTCTGGTGGTGGGATGGGCCTGTGGGTGTGGGAGAGGTAGTTGGAGCAGATGACACAGGCACAGATTCTTTACAGGCTGGAAGGGAAACCACAGATTGGCCAGGACACAGGAGGCAGAGGAGATGGGTCCTGCGTTCTCGTGGGAGAGATCCAGACAGTGGGAGGGTCGGAGCCTTCAGTAGGCAGCTGTTCCCATCCAGAGCGAGGGTGCTGAGCCCCCAGGATGGGAGGAGGGGCACTAGGGTGTGGAATCAGCCAAACCGAGCGGTGTAAAGAGAAACTGCCTTCCCATTTCTGCGCTCTGGGCACCAGGTGCTATTCCTGCCTGGGATCAGCACAGTGACTCCTGTGCGCCACCTGGTGGGAGCATCTCAAGTTTGCGGGGTGCTGTTTCTGTATTTCCAAGTGAGCCTCAGGCCTGCCGGTTCCCAGAGAGTGGCAATAGGCAATATTTAGGGAAGCGAAGGCACAATGCCTGGTCCTCTAATAGCAACAAGAGTTGAATTTTGAAAAGGTGACTAATACTGTCTGGTGTTGGTGGTGGGGGTGGGTGGGTGATGAACGATACCCTGCCCCTGAGGGCTTAGGGAAGAGAACAGGCCTTAGCATTTGACCCCTTTCTCTGACCTTGATAATCCCTGCCCGGCCAGTGATTGACCTGTTGACTGTGGGCGAGTCCCGGCAGATGGTAGCTGTGGCGGAGAAGATCCGGACAGCCCTGCTCACTGCTGGGGACATCTACCTCTTGTCCACCTTCCGCCTGCCCCCCAAGCAGGGTGGTGTCCTCTTTGGCCTCTACTCTCGCCAAGACAACACACGATGGCTGGAGGCCTCTGTTGTGGGCAAGATCAACAAAGGTGACTGGAGGGTGTCTCCTTTCCTGCAGCGGTGACCCCCTTGTGCACTCTCCCTCATCCCCACTCCCAGATCCCTCTTAATTCTTCTTGGGCTCCACTGGGGACCATGGACCCATCAGGCTGTGCCCAGGCACTAGGGACACCTGGTATCGGGTGCATAGGAGGTTCCTCAGGAGGCCTAGTACCCAAACAATAGCATAAGGCCTGGTATTTGTAGGAGTGTTTTACTTGGGGATGCCTAGGGGGAGAAGAGGCATGCCTCTGTGCCCCAGCAGTGGTCCCTCAGACTCTGGGACTGTTCAGTGGGTACAGAACCTGCTGCCACCCTAGGAGGGGACAGAGTGATCTGATGCCACTGAAGACTAAGAAAGTCCTAGTCTTTAAACCAATTTGGAAAACATTTATTGTGTACCTATTATGTGCAAGGTGTTGAAAGACACATAGTTGAATAAGGAATGATAGCTCCAGAGATGTGGTATCCAGCGGAGTTGATCCAAGCCTCAACTGGGAGACAGGGGGTGGGGGACAGTGCCCATACTGACCTCCCCTCCTGGGCAGTGCTGGTGCGGTACCAGCGGGAGGATGGCAAAGTCCATGCAGTGAACCTACAGCAAGCAGGCCTGGCCGACGGGCGCACGCACACAGCTCTCCTGCGACTCCGAGGCCCATCCCGACCCAGCCCTGCCCTGCAGCTCTATGTGGACTGCAAACTGGGCGACCAGCATGCTGGCCTTCCAGCACTGGCCCCCATTCCTCCAGCAGAGGTCGACGGGCTGGAGATCAGGACTGGACAGAAGGCTTATTTGAGGATGCAGGTGAGCAGGAAGGGAAGACCCTATGAGCTTCTGTGGAAACCATTCACACCAGTGGGAGGAGGAGTTGGTAGGTCTTCCCACCCCACTCTGCTCCTATTCCTCCAGGGCTTCGTGGAATCTATGAAAATGATTCTGGGAGGGTCCATGGCCCGGGTTGGAGCCCTGAGTGAGTGTCCGTTCCAGGGGGATGAGTCCATCCACAGTGCAGGTAACACAGAGACATCCTGGACCCCAGGTCCTGTGATATTTGGTGACTCTCTTCCTCTTGGACTTCCTCCCCCTTCACACCCATTCCTTTGGCTGACCTATTCCTGGGACTTCTGACTCTGTTAACCCAAATCTCCTTCACCTCTGACTCTGTAATCTCCAAATAATACAGCTGTCCCAGGAGGTGGATCAAAAAATTTCCCTGTTCAGGTCATCCCGCCTACCAGGGTGGCCAGAAAAATAAAACGATCCAAGGAAAGAATATAACTCTGAAGAACTCTGGGGGTGAGGAAGTTAACTGCTTGGTCTTGGTTGACTGAGATAAGGGTCCTGAGTCTTTTTTAGCTCCCATTGGCAGCTATCACCTACCAGCAGTTTCTCTGAGCATTGCCCATCTGCCTGGTCTCTCTGACAGGGATGTTCAGGGGCTCTTACCTAAATAAAACATCCACTTCTCCCAGATATTTCAAAGAAAGAGCTCTTGCAGTAGAAGCTTAGGAGGGAGGAAATGGAATGTTCTGGGGCCCTGGTCCTGCTTTGGGTCGCCTCTCACTTGGATCCCTTCTGCCACTACCAGGCCTGGGAAGCAGGAGGATTTTGGTTTTGACTATGAGGCAACTCCCTTACAGGGTCCCTCACCCAGTGGAAAAAGCTGGTGCTGCTTACTTGTCACCTCTGCCCTCCTACCATCCAACACTCCATCTTTAGTCAGGGCTCCAGCCCTTTGTCCCCTCCCTCTTTTCCTTCCTTCTCTTCAACAGCCAGGCCCCTCTTCACATCTCCACTCTCTGTGTTCTTCTTCCTTCTAGTGACCAATGCACTCCACTCCATCCTAGGTGAGTAGGCCGTGATGAGGGGGAAGGGGCATGAGAGTGGGGAGGAGGCCAGGCTTTGGCAGCTGCCTGAAACTAAGTCCTCTTCAGGCAGGAATGGGGTGGGGTTTAAAGGTGGGGAGGTGGGTAGCAGTGGCAGGAGCTGGCTTATTACCCAAAAAGGGACGAGGGCTGGTGCCCCAGTTCTGAGCCTCTCTGCACCCTGGGCCCTGACAGGGGAGCAGACCAAGGCGCTGGTCACCCAACTCACCCTCTTCAACCAGATCCTGGTGGAGTTGCGGGATGACATCCGAGACCAGGTTTGAGTGGGCCAGCAAAGGGTGGCACTGATTCCAGGGTGCAGTGGCAGATGCCAAGAGCTGACTCCTCCCCATCCTTCTGTCTCCCAGGTGAAGGAAATGTCCTTGATCCGAAACACTATCATGGAGTGTCAGGTGTGCGGTGAGTGGGAGAGTAGGGGAGGGCTCCAGGTGGCATCACTGTGCTCCCCACCCCATGGCTTCAGCCTCCATTTCTGGTGATTTAAATGGTGACTTCTGGGCGGCTCTGACTGTGCCCACCCCCCAGGCTTCCATGAGCAGCGTTCCCACTGCAGCCCCAACCCCTGCTTCCGCGGCGTGGACTGCATGGAAGTGTACGAGTACCCCGGCTACCGCTGTGGGCCCTGCCCCCCCGGCCTGCAGGGCAATGGCACCCATTGCACTGACATCAATGAGGTGGGGGAGAATCTGGAAGGGCACAGAAGGCTGGGGGGAGGGAGTTGGGAGAGGCCCAAGAAGGTGGGGTGAATGTTGGTCGGAAGCAGTGGAACCTAGGGTTTAGGAGAGGCTGGAGACCAGAAAAGAAGTGTGAGAAGGGAGGGACAGAGGCCTGGGGTGAAGACTGAAGGGCCACATAGGGAAAGAGCTGGGGGAGTGACAGAA